ATGTTCAGTGAATCAGGTGAATAAAGCAATAGCTTGATCTGAGTTCATAGGTTTTATCCTTAGGACACTTCCGAAAACTATGATGTTGTTTGCAATGGTTCTCTCGTCATGTCATTATTTTTTTCTCAATTCAGTTAAGGTTTGAATATTCCTGAACATGCATTCATGCTTGATCGATTTAAGTTGAGTGATTAAAACCGAACAGACGAGTTCGGTCTAATTGACCATGATTTAACACAGGGCACTATTATGGAACGAAAATTCGATGCCTGTTTTATCAAGCGGTCTGTTACACCCATAGCACTATGCCCTTGGTTGTATCACCTACTCATGAGTAGTGTGATGTTAGCTGTAACTTCTCATGAGTACAAGTGTATTGCATCCACGAAGCGTTTGGTGGATAGCCCCAGTTTAGCGCAATCTACTTCTGATCATCCTCGTCTGGTATCCTTATGACAATTCAATAAGTTTTTTCTTTAGCTGTTTCACGTCCTTTTGTTCATTCAGCCTGAGCTTGAACGAAATAGTGCCTGTCTGAATGCGGCATCGCAAAAACTTAACTACATGTTTGGCATAGGTCCGCGGTCGAATGCATTGGGCATTTCTAATGTATTACATGTTGCAACCTTTGATGGAAACAACCGAGATTGTTTCTCCAAACGGTTCTGCTTTTATATTCTTATGGCCTTGAGTGAATGTCTTAGAGATTTTATATTCAGACCCATACGTATAGCACCTCAACGAAGTTTGAGCTGTATATAAATCTTGAGTCAGTTCATGGGATAGGCCCTCACGAGAAACTCGCATGTTGGACTTCAAATCCTAGCTGACGGAGTAGAGGTTAACATGTAAAAAGTGGAACTAATCATCCGAATTAACGGTATGTTCATTCCAGTTGTTGTTGTTGTTGTTGTTGTTCCGTATGTGGCTCCTTTCAAGTTTTAGATCCCGTAAATGATCAGTAGGTCCTTGTGCCCATTCCAGCCCACCCAATCATCTCTGTCTCTCCTAGTGTTTTTCAAAATTGTTCGTTTTTTAATTTGGTTATTCCTCCCATAAAACGAAACACGAACTCCGAATAAGCCGAACATAAAAGGGACTGAAAAAGAACAATTTTTTCGCAAGTCCTAGACTTTTCCTGAGTGGAGAATTCGCTTGCAAACTTCCTGTTCCATATAATGTCACTAGTGCCGCTCTGGTATGCTACTACTAGTAATAACAGCAGCATAGTGTAGCAAGGTGGATGTCCTATGACCAGCATTCGAACGCTGCGACCCCCTTAAATTGAATGTGACAGAACCCGTTATGAAGTGTGCGTAAGCTATCACGTGTGACGTGTCAAATTCAGTATATTCCCCGCCTAAATTGTCACGCTTTTACTTCTCTAGTCTGCACGCATGACGATTTGTTTTCATAACACACACACACACACAATACAGACAAACTAAATTCACTTGCTTTTCATAGGATATAATGAGATCCTCTTATTTTTTGGTGTATCAGAACACGAGGCTTTTCACCCCCTGTATAAAGTTTTTGGACGATTATCGAGATATGTTCGCTGTCGGATGCTGGCCACAGCAGAAGCGGTAGGCATCCTTTTGCATAACCCCGCTCTGCCAACTTAAAAACTATTTATGTAAGCGCTAAAGCTTCCTTGGTCCATCCCACACACACATCGCATCACGAGTAATATCGATGAACGGATGAGTGGACAAACAAATATGTGAT